AGATATTGAGATAACTGGATAGACTTATATGCTGTATACTCGTTCATATGATGGAAGTGACTGGTCTCATAGCTGCTCGTGTGGGGACAGTAGGGATACAATGCAAGTGCTCATTGGAGAATGAGTTCACTAATTGATCCGCTCATGGAATGTTCGATGGTTAATGATGCCTTATTATTAGACATCGATTCCGTCGTCTCAATGATATATCTGATATTTATACTTTAGATGCCAAGGATATCATGTATGAGTACTTCATTCTTTGATACCGAACTTATATGCCTGGAAGTTTCAGATTTAACATAATCGATCATTGGGAGTGACAACCAACCTTATGAGTGCTATTACATATCGATGTAGGATTATCCGCTCTCGGTATTATGAGAAGAATATTTCATGTATTCTTGCTCATACAAATCCCTGGTTATGGTCATTCGAATTGAGATAGAAAAAGTTCTCTGGGATAATCCGATTAGAGCGAGACTCGAATAGAAACTATATGAGCTTGATAACACTATACCCGGTATACAGTCTTTGGGATATTAGAAGGATTATGGACTATATGTATACGGTAATTGAGGATAAATAACTATAAAGGATTGAATTCCCTTGTATAGTCTAGGGATTGCAACGTAGTGACCTAATACGTCCGTAGTCGATGAGTCGAGTGAATTATTATAAAGATAATAATTCATTGAGATAGAAGGAGTTCTGACAGGTATAGCTTACGGCTAGCTCAATTTTGAGCCTCGAGGGTCAACACATATGGTAGGTGTTACGACGAGTACAGGTTCGAATATGAGCTATCCGTTGGAGCTCTTATTTTATTAGATATCCAATAAGCCCATGAATTATTGGATCCTATGAATGAGATCCAATAAGAGCCAATGAGAGATTATTGGGTAGAGACTCATTAATTTAAGAGGCTTGGGTAGTTGGATGGAGATCCAGTACCCAATATGACAAGATCTATTATGGTTAAGTTGATAGCGAGCTTATATAAATATGAGGAAACCAAATGACCATGAGTTAGGCTTTTTAACTGTCACCTTTTATTCTCCTCTCCCCTTCTCCTCCTCAACATACAATCTCTATTTGAGGCGTGTAGACAATAAGAAGGGGTAGCCCTTTCTTGATTACATGGTATGCGTGAAGAGGAGATTTGGACAGTGATTTGAGGAGCGTCTTCATAGTCTCAATCGTATGGATCACCACTAGAGATAAGGACAATTGACCTCCTTCATTCTCTCTTACAGATATATAGGAATTTAGAGATATACGATCTTCCTATATAACACAATCTCTCTTGTACATATAGTTTTCGGTTTTGTAGATTTTTATATATCAATCTTTATACGACGATGAAACATTACACGATGATTGATTTTTTACATACGACGATGAAACATTACACGACGATTGATTTTTACATATCAATTTTTACTCAAAAATACTCAAGCTATATTGTGCATTACATCCAATTGATCTCCATATAAACCTTTACTACCGTATTGACGTACGCAACGATCATAGTAATCTCAATCCAATAAAATGACAATAATAGGATTATCCGTTGGGGAGTCGTCTTAAGATTTTGGTCACTCACGACATGACATGTGGAAGCGACGTATGCCAACAAGAGCTCCATATGCCTCTGTCTACACGTCCTAAATATCTTACCAATTTACTAGTATTCCTAAGAATATTGTAACACAATATTAATATTATAAATACAATGTTTATACATATATATATATATATATATATATATATATATATATATATATGGATCTATGCAATGAGAATCGAATGAGATCACGATAATATGATCGATTCGTCTTTAAACACAAACCCTAAATAATCTCGGTCATATGTTACTCGAGAGGGATATTGAGATAACTGGATAGACTTGTATGCTGTATACTCATTCATATAATGGAAGCGACTGGTCTCATAGCTGCTCGTGTGGGGACACTAGGGATACAATGCAAGTGCTCATAGGAGAATGAGTTCACTAATTGATCCGCTTATAAAATGTTCGATGGTTAATGATGTCTTATTATTAGACATCAATTCCGTCGTTTCAATGATGTATCAGATCTTTAGACTTTAGATGTCAAGGATATCATGTATGAGTACTCCATTCTTTAATACCGAACTTATAGGCTTAAAAGTTTCAGATCTAAATCAGGAGTGACAACCAATCTTATGAGGGCTATTACGTATCGATAGAGGATTATCCGCTCTCAATATTATGAGAAGAATATTTCATGTGTTCTTGCTCATACAAATCCCTAGTTATGGTCATTCGAATTGAGATAGAAAGAGTTCTCTAGTATAATCCGATTAGAGCGAGACTCGAGTAGAAATTGTATGGGCTTGACAACACCATACCCGGTATATGGTCTCTGGGATATTAGATGAATGAGAGACTATATATATACGATAATTGAGGATAAATAGCTATAAAGGATTGAATTCCCTTGTATCGTTTAGGGATTGCAACGTAGTGACTTAGTACGTCTGTAGTCGATGAGTCGAGTGAATTATTATAAAGATAATAATTCATTAAGATAGAAGGAGTTCTGACAGGTATAACTTACGACCAGCTCAATTTTGGGCCTCGAGGGTCAACACATATGGTAGATATTACGACGAGTAGATGTTCGAATACGAGCTATCCGTTGGAGCTCTTATCTTATTAGATATTCAAAAAGTTCATGAATTATTGGATCCTATGAATGAGATTTAATAAGAGCCAATGAGAGATTATTGGGTAGAGACTCACTAATCTAAGGACTTGGGTAGTTGGATGGAGATCCACTACCCAATATGACAAGATCTATTAGGGTTAAGTTGATAGCGAGCTTCTATAAATAAGAAGAAACCAAATGACTATGAGTTAGACTTTTTGGCTATCACTTTTTATTCTCCTCTCCCATTCTCCTCCTCAACATACAACCCCCTATTTGAGGCGTATAGACAATAAGAAGGGGTAGCCCCTTCTTGATTACATAGTGCGTGTGAAGAGGGGATTTAAACAGTGATTTGAGGAGCGTCTTCACAATTCCAATCGTATGGATCACCACTAGAGAGGAGGACAACTGACCTCTTTCATTCTCTCTTACAGATATATAGGAATTCTTGATTACATAGTGCGCGTGAAGAGGGGATTTAGACAGTGATTTGAGGAGCGTCTTCACAATTCCAATCATATGGATCGCCACTAGAGAGGAGGACAACTAACCTATAGGAATTCAAAGATATACGATATTTCTAGGTAACACAATCTCTCTTGTACATGTAATTTTTGGTTTTATAGATTTTTACACATAAATCTTTACACGATGATGAAACATTCTTTTCTATGAAAAAATTCTAGAATTACAAGCTGAGAACTTAGTATTTTTACTCGAAAATACCACCTCAAACTATATTGTGTGTTACATCCAATTGATCTCGATATAAACCATTTTTTCTCCTATGAATTAAACACGTATAGTGACCTTTACTATCGTCTTTACGTACGCAACAATCATAGTAATCTCAATCCCATAAAATGATAATAACAGGATTCTCCGTTGGGGAGCCGTCCTAAGATTTTGGTCACTCACGACATGACATGTGGAAGCGACGTAATACTTTTTTATACTCCACTATAATATTTTTTGGTGTTACTGAAAAAAAAACACTGTAATAGTGTAAAGAACAGGTTCCATAGGAAAAAGAAAGAAAAAATATAGTCTAAACATCAGGCAAAAACAGAAAAAGAAGACAAGAGCCCTACCTGCCCACCGACCTACACACAAGGGATCTTCTTGTTCACGCCCCTACCGCTCTTTCTGACCCCTTCCTCCTACACCCCTAGGTTGGCGGAACGTTCGTGTGAGGATGGATGAACCACGTACGGTCTCGGCTCCCCTACAGCACGACGCAAGCGCGATGAGTGCAGATCACATGCAACAAGGGATCTGAGTTCATAGATCATATATATTATTCTATTATACGGATGCAGAATCGATTTTGATCAATCGTCATGGTGAGATAACATGAAGTGGGGAGCAATGGATGGGCGACAAGTCAATGGCAGGTGTCGTCGAGTGGAGAACATGATGTATGGGCACGCACCACAGGAGGCCTCCTCCTCAAGTTGATGCTTCCAACTTACCAACCCATCTCGCGTGCAGTCATGGGCCTCCATTCTCGTGCCGCTTGCAATTATAGAGGAGTCAAAGTCAACCCCCAACTGCACTGCTTTCTTAAGTACCAAAAGTTTCTGATGAAAGTTATGGCATCCTAACATGTTGGGTACTGACACAAGTTTCATATGCCTCGCGTTTCTTCTCAAGCGTACCTAATCGAACAGCGAAGTGCGGTGATGTTCGTTCCTATCACAAGAACAGTCATCCAAGTTAGAAAGTTAGGAATGTTGTTGACGAGGTACGCCGAGGCTACCAAAACAAGATGCAAACAGCCACTCCTCCTTCCGACCATTCAATCAAACACCCTGTGACAGCCCCCACGTCAATCCAAGACTTCCTTTGTTCGATTTAAGACAATAAAAGTACCTAATGTTAGGTCGAAATGGAATGAATATATATATATATATATATATATATATATATATATATATATATATATATATATATATCAACTAACTTAACTGATAAAAATCTTGATAATTTATCACAACACCCTATATGTATCCATATCCATGATGGTTAACTTTCACTGGATCAAGGGGTAATGGAAGCCACAACATAATATTTCCTTCAAAATATATACCATTAGCATTCTCATTCCATGTGTCTTCTCACTCTACCCAACAGACGTTTCAAGTCTTGCATGAGAACTGGTCTTGACCATTGCTGTCTCGCTCACCAGAAATGGAGAAAGCAATGACCAATACTATAAACACCTACTAACGTGGAATTGAAATGAAATATATGCGTGCACACAAGTGTAGGGAATGGAGGACGGTATGCATACCCTCACAAATCTAAACAAAAACGTTTATATTTATTTCATAATACGATAATATTACAGAGCAACCCTGCATCCTCGGTGCAATAAAGTTGGAGGTGAGGGCCTGATACTACTGTATACTAACTACATCAATCTCAGAACACAAAATAGATAAACCACACAAGTCCACATTTAGCACAGCCAAATAACTAGACAAGTCTGCTCTTTCACTTGTACGTTAATAGTCTACTAATCTCCAGCCTACAGATTATAAAAGAAAAATCAACTTCATGGGCTGAAAGCATACCGTCTCACCACATTATGCATGACTACTGGGACAATCAACAAGTTTTGTAGCTTCCCGGACACATACCAGCATCACAAAGGAACTGTCGAAAGGTAAATTTTAGAAACTGCCTCACTGAAATTTGGAACAGCCAATGTGATAACAGTATTGGTAAAGAGAAAACAAAGTTGCAGGACAGCAAACGCATTTCACTATTGCTTGAAAGCAAAGAAGATGTTAGGCATAATTATCCAGATTGTGGGACTTGACACCACCACATAAGCTTAATTGCATTGTTTGCCTAGCTTTGGTAGAATACCAAGTGTTTAAATTAATGTTATCGAGGTTATTAACATAGTGACCGACAAAGTTGTCTACAGTTTCAGATACGGCAGTGCCAAGCAAGCAGATTATATGCCAGAATGACACTTACCAATACATTATTTCTATGTTGAATCAATAGTAAATAAGACCATTATGTAAATACAGTGGTTGCAATAAACAAGAAAATTAGAAATTGAAAATAGAAAAATTCTAAACTAGATCTATCTGACGTAAGTAGTAAATAGAAAATTTGAACTTTGCGACACATAAACAAATGTGATATGTAGCCACATTTGAATGTAATTAAACACTTAAAGAAGCAGCATGAACTAAACAGAAGTCAAAAGATGCTACTGTATCAGTAACCTAAGATAATTGATAGTTGAATGCAATATGGGGATTAAGTCTAAGCCTACGGCTTTGGCATACCTTCTCTATACAAACAGAGAGCAAACTGATCTTGCCTCTTCAATAGTAAAGTGAACCTGAAAGAGTAAATTTGGATAGTGTATAAAAGAGTTACTTTCCATTTAAAGACATGAAAAATAGATTAAACTCATTCTAGAGTTTGATCTTACCTTGCCACCAGTCACCTCTGTCAGCAGCATGCCTATTGCCCCAGTCAACTCCATCATCAGTTTTATACTGGTAAAATTTCAAACAGGGTGAGTATGAAATCATAACAATGTTTTTTTCTTTTAACTTGGTATTCCAAGGTACATTGAAATAAGATCCTTAATATAACCAAGAGCAAAATCTTCCTATGCAACATGTAAGGAGGTGTCGCATACACTTTCTGAAGTTTCAGTGGTCTGCATGGACAAAGAGCTCATGTAGAAGTCTCTACCACCATAATGCACAGATGATCCGAAACATGGTGACTCTACAGATTCATTGGGATGGACTGATTTCTCATCTTTGTTCTTGGTGACTTGTCTTTTAGTTGGACAGCCTTGCGATTTGCAATCTGAAATTACATACACATATATGATTGACTTCTGATTGTTTTTGAACAAAAATTCAGTTTGAGTCCAAAAAAAGGTCGCCTTATATAGACCATCCACCAAAATCAAGTTCTCTAACAAGAGGCACATCGACTTTTTGGTGACACTAGCAGCAGTGAAACAAGATACAATGAACAAATATAAACACTCTTATTCTCATACAAAGACATCAATTTCCAAAGACAGTTGATTTTTCTTCAAGAAAGAAATGATCGCCGGTGAAGTACTTACAAGTGGAACATGAAGTTTAATCTAACTAGTGAAGACACCCGTGAAAATACCCTTAAGAGTTGTCAAGGAAGAAAATATCACCAGCGAAGCACTAAATCAGTGGCACGTGAACTTCCTCTACTACTCTCAAGTTCACTTTTATTGAGTCTGAATCCTTCTATTCACCACTGAGAACAGGCATCAAATATATTGGTGATATCCGCAGCAATTTGATCCAATAAAGACATACATGCACATCATCACAATAATCTTAGAAGAATATAGTACTACAAAATAAGGCAACTGTTTCAATTCAAGATTGACAGTTTTTGTGCTTCTTTACAACCTCTGGCCTGCAATGACCTGGATTTATGTGTGATTGGCCATTCTAATCATCGGTACATGTTCCATTGAATAAGGAACATAAGTATGTAAGTTCATTACCAAAGTACTTATGTATTATTGTATTTATGCTCAATAATTCTCATACTCTACCGGAAATATTATCCGAATATTGGTTGCTACAAGAATGTAATGTTTGAGGAAAACTAAATTTTTACTGGCTCGAAAATAAATCAAGTCTCATCCCTGTAAAACACTGTAGCTAAAAGGTACTGTATAGGGTAATGTAAAACAGGCAGATTTCTCCCCTTTTTTTGTGTGTGTTGGACGAAGAGGAGGAGGAGGAGATTCTTGTGTTTGTATGTGTGTCGAAAGATGAAAAATGCATAGGAGTTAGCATATGAGCTGCAACAGCATTAAGCATTATCAATTACCTGACGTTGCTCTCTGAGCGCCCGCACTGCCACCTTCGTTTCTCTGCTTGTTCAAGGTCCAGCAAAAGTCAGAATGTGATAGATCCTTTGCAATCACCTAGCATCATGGAAAGCGAATAATTAGGTCGTCCTACCATCAGAAACCCATGGAACCAAGCAACAGCAACAACTATGGCGACTAGGAAAACCTTCATCCCAATCCACATTTTGTTTCAAGAACGAAGAGCAGAACCCCTTCAATTCCACAGTCGCACAAGAAGAACAAAAGGAGAGTCGATTTGGGTTGCCACAGATCTAGAATACAAAGGACAAAGGACAGCATGATGACAGACAAGGCGCACTTACCGCGGAAGCAGGAGGGATGACGGTGCTGAAATAGCCGGGGGACGATGACGAGGGATTCGCGCCCTTCCGCCCGGGAACCTCATCCGCTTGCGACGTGAACGAAGGAGAACAGTTGTCGTCTTCCATCGGCCCTTTTACCCTTCGATCTCCTCCTCTCCCAACAACGACTCCTCTGCTCGATCTGCGTGTGCTATGAGAGGGCGAGGGAGGCGGAGATATAAAAAGAGGACGAGAGGGACACACGGGAAGGGCGAAGAGCGCAAACAAGGGTCGCGATCACCAGCTGCTGCTGCTGCTGCTCCCGCGTCGTCTCAGCACCTTCTGGCTCGCATGTGCCGGCATGGAAACGTCTCTTTATCTTCGCTTCTCAGAAAGAAATCTCCAATGATGAATAGAACCTCAGCAGACTCAACGCCTCCCGAATCCAATCAAATACGTGTTTTCTTCTTGGATTCAGAGTCGCCTCCGCCCCCAATTCTCTCTCTATTACCAAATATTTAGCTCCGATCCATCGCCCTCCTTTCTTGCTCTCCTCAAATCGTCGTAGTTTTCGTTGGGCGTGCACTGGAGGACAAGAGACCCTGTGGGGCCCACCGTATCCGTCAAAGTGCACCTGAGACCAGTCGTTGCGTGCCGGATCGACACGTGCGCAAGCCGATAAAGAACGGCCACAACTTCTCAATGCAGCGAAATGCTTTCCCCAACACCCCAAAATATAACGCCCAAAAATGATCCAAACCGTTACCTTTTTTATCAATACCACTGTATGTATCAGCATGATGCAATCCCATGGTGGATTTGTGGGTAGATGCAATGCATTCAAAGGGTCAAAGAAACGTTGTAGAACTTGGTGCAAATGTCGTCCCGGATTGTTCGACTCAACAAGGAGACAAAAAAAAAAAGAGTAGTCTCATATGTGAGAAATATGATTCAGAATTACAAAATTATGGCCTCTTTTTTATGATAAGATCATATTTAAAGACTGCCAAATGCTAGATTCATCATGTACGTTAAAAAATGAGGTAACTGCATATGTCACGGCACCTCTTCATGTGATGGTGGGAAGGAAGATATATGCCCTAGGAGTTCCAAGGTCTGTAGGTGAGACTTATCCACTTGAACATGGCCACCAAGACTACAGGAGTTGACTCTTCTGAATCGACCTTATCTTTATCATGCCTAACTCTTATCCACTAGTCTCTTTGTTGATATCCTTAGCTTATCTACTAGAAAGATGAAGAAGAATAACGTAGATGTCATGTCACTCTGCGATCTATTGTTCTTAAAAGAGAGTTTACGAACCTGAGCAACATAAAGTACTGACTCTTGTGATGCCACTTGAAAGCACTCCTAGCCATGTCCCAAAGTCGAGTATATGATCATATCTGGCCTCGCGTGTCCTGAGCCTCGCACAGCCGGCCACTGGGATCTGAAACTGCACAACATGTGTCATGGAATTCAATGTTGCGCCACTTGCATTTCTCTTGCATGATAACGAGGACGAGGATAAGAGATGACCTTTCACGCCACATGCTTTTGGTACCTTTCGCAGACTAAAATACTGGGAGAACTTTATATCCACACCAAAGAGCTTTGCCCCGTCACAAAGATAGAACGTCACCATCGTTGCATACAAACAACAGACTTTTGCAAGAACAATTCACATCGTTCTCGAGCTTTCAATAGAGATTGGTGGTTCGGCATTCAGATGTTTAACTCCTGAAAAGTACGCATAAAGATATAAATAAAAAGCAGCATAAACAACAAGCACACTAAAATGCAACCATTTGTTTGTGGTGGTAGAGTAGCAGACCTGATACAAGCAGCAATCCTTCCGAGTCGTTGCCAACGAAGCACATGTACCACCATATAAGAAAAAGAAGGTGACAGACTACTGTTAGAGAATACCTTTGAATTCCTTTTCCCCAATGGATGTGACAAAATATATGCTTTGCTTGTGCTTACCTGAATGGGCAGCAGCCGGAGTTTCTCTCTATCAAAAACAATTTATCATGGATATACATACTTATTATTTACAACCTTGTAAACCAGACATTGGATAATTTATATATAAAATATTGTTTGGAACTTAGTATTGCAGCAGCTGCTTTTACTTGAAACATAAAGCAGTATCAACCATGTGGCTCCCCAAGAAAAATTATGGGACTTGTGAGCCAAACCGTGCATGAGCAACTCACTCTTTGCAATAACAACTGCTCACAGCAAGAGAAGTCATTTTCATGTAGGAAAGCTTTGTGTTAAGCGGATATGGTCCAGGGTTCGCGGAAGCCCATATTTATTAACAGCTGCATTGGCAGCTCTGAAACCTTCACCATAGGCTGTTGAAGTGTCATGAGCAATTTGGTACATGAAGAACTGACCAAGCTTCTTCTCAATATCCGACTTCCCTGCTTTCTTTGACAATGGCATCCAGGATGATGACAACGAAGAAGAAGAAGATGAGGCATAATTGGATGAGGATGGCATAGTTGTTGACCCTGGCATCACCTCAGATTCAAGCCACATATGGGAAAGAGCCTGACAGATGCCTTCCTCCACCTCGGCGCTTAAATTACGGTAGCCTGATAGGAAAAGGAAGAATTGGGAAAACAAATCCAACCAATCAGTCAAGAGGAAACAAATAATGAGAGCAAACAGTGTTTCTAGAGAAAAGGAGAAAGATAGTTGGATCCAACATCTAGTGATGAAATTGTTTGCAATTTCACATCTAAAGGAGAATCATAAAGGCATCTGTAAAAAAATAAAACTATTTGAAACTTGACACCAAATGATGGAAGAATCGCAACCTAAACAATCGAGAATATACCTTTGAGACGTAACCAACCATGCATTAGCTCATGAGCAAGGATCGAACCTGTTAATAGCCTGCATATAGAAGGAAAAGAAAGATCAGGATACCAGGCATAACTTGATGAATGAAATGCATATTAGCGGTTCAAAGAACAAAATCTTGACAAAGTGACTTCCATGTGCATCCAGTTCAGCTTTCACAAAATCCTACCCTGATATCACAGGAAGCACAGGTTCCTGTATTGCATAAGCATGTTAACATAACATGACACGGTAAAATACCCAAATGTCAAATATATTATCATATTGGATAAATAAGTTGATTATAACATAATGATCTCAGCACTTCAGTTAACTATGATCATGTTACTGAATATAAAAAGAAAACTAAATCAGTAATTGCATAAATAAAGTTATCTGACTTCCAACATGATAACAAGATGAGACCAACCTGGGAAGGCCATACAAAACGAGAATTGCAGTAACTTCACATTTACGGGTCAACTTCTGTGGGCAAGTCCGCATGTCCAGAATTCTGTTTCCCCAAATTCTTGGCCTTTTATGTATCTATATATTGGGAACTAGAGAGCTCAGACATCAACAATGTCTATCATAATCAAAATGGAAGGAGATTGCTTACACTGCTAATTGTTCGTTCCTCAGTAAGACATAAGCCTCTTATTTCGGGCTTGTGGTGATGACCCTGATATGAAAATGTTTGAGAAATTAGCAAGTTTCCAGGATATGCATGATAAAACTTGAAACAACCAAAGAAAGCTCACATCTTTCTCTCCTTCTATGGCTTCATTAAGAGCCTGCCTTTCAACCAATAGCATTGGAATTTGTTGATCTATTCTCATGTACAGTCCTTCATAATAATCTCTAATTGAGTGGTACAGGGCTTGACAGTCACCAGCATCCATGATGGCAGAATCAAGACATTCCATGCACAAGCTACGGCCTTCTCCTAGAGAGATATGTCTAGTACTTCTTGACTTCAATACAAAGTAAAAGAAGGAAAAAAACAGATATTATTTAAGATGGATGTTCTAGATATCATGAGCATTTCTTTTGCTCTTAATGATAATTTTCATACATGAAAGTTCCTCCAATAAAACAATTGTCTTCCATACCTCCATTCTCTCACAACTACAGCATCGAGGTGTGCGGTCATGTTCATGTGAAGGACAATACTTTTGGCCCCAAAAGGGGTGAGCCCTATACTCAATTAAACCACCCCTGTTTGTTGGTATCTGTTGAGAGAAAAATGAAGAAAATTCATTTACATGCTTGCTTGCTTATATCGTAGCATGTTATTTCTAACTCAACTTTTGTAAGAGAAACAATTAAACCATTTCTAGAAAAACTAAGAGACATATTTTGGAGATCAATTAAGCTACCAGTTAATTCAAAAGTTCCAAATGGAGAAGGAAAAAGACACCACTGATGATATTCATCTTTTTAAGAAAAACATAAGTAGAAGATTCACTTTCTAAGTTCAACTGCAGATTCAAGTTTGGGTCAATAATATCATTGTTACAAAACCATAACTATTTGCAAAGCTTTTCTATTTGAGTTTTAGAGGTCTCTAACACACGTGGGATCCCTATCCAATAGTACAACATCTATGAATGTCAGAACAAGAAAGCTTAATTCTCATTGTGATACAGATTTCATTCTGGAAAGGATTCAGTATCACTGTATTGAAATAGACATATATGCTGATATCTAGAGAAAACTTCAATGCTGGTTCTCAAATCGACAATCAATGATATCCAGTCAAGTTAAAGCAAATAATAGTCTCTTGATTTGCGCAAGGAGGAGATACAATAAAGCCCAAACAGTCTGTGACTAACATATATAGCATGAAGTACCCACAAACAGGCAACCTAGAACAACATGAACTTCTGCATGGAAAAATGTTCTGTAATTTTCTAATGACAGAGTTTGTTAAACACATTTATTCAGTGGTAAATGACAAACTGCAAAGTATCATCACAAAAATTCTTACAAATTCATGGCAGACATCACATTTGGGGTGATGCAACTCCTTATAACACAACTTGTGGTATGGATTACTGCCTGACAAAGAAAACTAAAACAAGCACCATCCTTAAGATCTGCTTCACACAAAAAACAACTCAGAAAAGACAGGTGCCAGTTAATTATTTAACATGCTTTAAATAAGTGAAGCAACATTTTTATCAACACACCTCAGCCTCATGAATAAGCTGACCACAAGCATAACATCGAAAGCACTGTGGGTGCCAAAAGATTCCCATGCAGCTTAAGTAATGTCCACAACCTATTTCATTGTGACAAACACCACAGATTCTGCAGGCCACAATGAACAAGCATAGTTGTTAGGTAATGTGATGTAGGAAGATGGCATATAAACTAAGAATTACAAATCAAACCTATATCCTCTTGGCAAAAACTGTACAGGTTGATATGTTTGAGATGAGGGCATGCTCAAACTTTCTTGGATAGCTTTAGCTAGCTCATCATCATCATTTCCCTGGCCCTTGTATCCTGAAGATATCTCAGAAAATTGCCAGACAATAGGTAATCAGCACTTTAACCAACCTCTTCAACATGGAAGGGAAACCATATAATTCAAAATCAAGAAGCTAGACTTATAATTTGAAGAAGACTGAATAACTCGAGTATCAGCTCTCCAAATAGTTAAAACCTACCATTAGGTTTCTTGGCATCCTCTGCAAGAGAAAGGGCAATCGCATGATCCAAATCTTCATTTTCACCCTTCGATTGGTCATCCTGATAGTAGCTTGTGCAAAAAAAATTCATGCAATGACATATAAGAAGAGCAAATGGACACCTTAATGAAATTAAGATAAATTTCTGAAAACTATGTGTATCTCAATATGTAATGAGGATAAGGCCTATTCTGAGAAATTTGACATCCAATCTGCACAGACAAATGAGATAGAATCTTTACCACTGGTTTGACTGGTTTATGCAATGAGTTCTCTCCCCCAGTTACACTTGAATGGTCTCCACTTGACACTCCAGCATCTGTTCCTTTGAAAAGCTTGCGGAGCCACCTCATGAAGCGAGACCTTCTCTCAATAAATGATGGAGCTGTATGTCCTGATCAAGTGATGAAATTTTATATTACTATAAGATCATGATCAAACATGAAATTCGCTGATAACATGCCCATCATGTTATGTAATTCTTAACAAAAGAAGACATGATGCAAGCTGTGTTATTTACAGCTGTCATCTTGAACATGTGAAGCTCGTGTTTCCTCTCTGAAATGCCATTTTCCCAAAGATATTTCCATTGAAAGTAGAATACTCAACATTCACTAAATAATTTCTCTTAGTGATTAGAATAAGAGTTTGAATAATGTGAGGCGCTGATGCTTAAGGTTTCATGGCATTGCATAGTATGACAATCCCTGCATCAGAAAATAAAAAAGATCTCTGATAAATTTTAGCCACTTGAATAAGAACATATTAAAATGATGTTTATATTTCTGATACAAACATTTTTATCAACTAGATAAGAGTCATTAACATATAGACATCTTTGCTTATTTTTCATCATGCAGGTTTTTATATAGTGGGCTTATAAAGTACTGCAGATTATAAATTTTCATATAATAATCACACATGCTTGAATGCATATATACTAAACAAATATATGTGCAGTATGTACCCATGCACTATATATGAGTAATTGTATATACAATATACACAAAACCTATGACATTAATGCAAATACATGTGGATAACATTTATTCCCTATGTGCATCTAAAAAAAAATTGTTCCTGAGTCCTGAAACAAGGGGAACCTTGAATCAGAACAATTAAATGATCAGGTATTCAAACTTCAAAAGTCAACCAGTAGGTTAGTCCATACACAAATTGCACAAAGAGATTTTTCTTCGTGACATAAATATCAATTTCTATGGTCCACTGTTGCATTACCAAATGATTTATTGTTGCAGCAGCCAATATGCGACTAAATGGAGCTACCATTTGTCTTGTTCTGGGGCATGAAAGGACCACAGGAAGTTGGTGATGCCCTTTTCAAGGCATCCAGGGGAGGGTTAGGCAGGCAGTGGCTCTAACGTCTAAGTGAAGGATGGATAAGAAAATTTGTGTGAGAGAGTTGACATCAGTAGCAGAAAGAACTAGAAGATTCCACATGGGATCATTAAATCTTGACAATTTTCTCCATTTATGAAGAATGATCAATATGCGTTTATTGTTGAGACAGATCAACCAGGATAAAAATAAGGATTATTTCAATCCTTAGGATTTTCATCACTCTAGTGTGGAGTTATCTCAATGAATGTCTTCTAATTCTAAATTTGCTCCAATTAAAAAGCAATGTCCCACAATTTCCTCGCTTAGAACTCTCTAAAGCCTAGCTAGAGAAGAGAGAGAGAGAGAGAGAGAGAGAGAGAGAGAGAGAGAGAGAGAG